CCCTTGGTTTCATTAATGCGATGCATGCGTTCCATGATGTTGTATTGCACTCATTGATCTACCAGTTATGTTGAATGATTTCTCTTTTAATATCAATTACTCACAAATACTTCATATATTTCAATCATACAAACAACTGCTCATTCAATGTGTGACGGGCGTATTATATACCGCTCGCGGTAACCTTGTTTTTAATTAACCTTGCTACAAATGTCACCTTCAGAAAATGAAGAATTGAATTTTCATTGAACTATAATCAGAATTGAAATTAAAGCTAACTTTTCTGAGTATGTTGTAGCAAGATTGATTCGAACATTCTACTTTTTTGCTATGTACACAGTCTGGTCTTGGTCTGTTCCCTATAATAGATTATTAAATCCGAGAAGGCACATCACTTGATACAAAGTAACATGGGGGTTTTTTGGTTTTTTTTTAACTAGCTTTGTTCTATTTTGATACAGTTATCTGTTGTTTCTCTGACTACAGACTTTTAGGAACAGTAGTGTTTCACTACGTGTTACATCTTGCTGTTGGGTACATTCTACTTTAATTTCATTGTTTCACCTGATAAGAACTTTACAAGGAAAATTCAGACTCAATTGCAGACTATATTCAAGAGAGTTTATGCAAAGAAAGGAAAGTAGGAAATGATCATTTAGGATATAGATTACTGGACTTTGCAGTTTATTTTACCAGTCATCAGCCAACTTATCAAACAAATTCAACATGAAATTACCGTGTTATTTTGGTAGATAAAAAATAAATAGATTTGGACCATATAAGAGGAAAATAATTCAGTTATATCATTGGCTTAGTTATTTTATAACTCCTGTGCTCTGTAAACAACAAGTCACATTGAAATGAAAGATTTATGTATGTTTACACTTTCATCATAAACTAACAGTCATGCTTCATTTCTAGTGTGTACTGAGATAAAAAAAAAAAAAAAAAACAACACAACATCTGTGCAGTGTACCGGTATGTCCAAAAAAGGGGTGCCGAAAACTTCATTTTCATTTTAGAGTGAAAACTTTTATTGAAGATAATTTTACTTTGGATGAGAAAATATGCTTATCTTATTTAAATCTTAAAGCAGAAACATTATTTTAATCTGAGGAACTTAAACTTTTAACACAACAAGCCATCAATCAGAATTCTACACAATTAAACTTTTGTCATACAACACATGGTTGACTACTGAGGTATGTTTAACTCGCTTTGGATAGGAGCGAATAGATTACAATTCTCAAAGGCTAGCTATAGGTTGACCAATGGACTGTGAACCTCTCTACTGTGTTTTCTATTACTGACCTTGTATTTATCTTGCACAACAAACTAGGACGCAGAGGGCCAGGTAAGCCAGATTATCTCCCTTGGGGATTGAGTTGTCTCCCCTTTTATATATCTTGTTTCACTTGCTCCATTAAACAAAGAAATGATTAATAGCCAAAAAGAAATATGTGAAAAAAGGAAAATGTCATGAAAAAAACATTTCAGTAAAACATGTAAAATATTCTTTTCAAATCTGATTTGTTATCATAAATATTTTTTGGGAAGAATTACTTAACACTGTTTGACATTTATTGTTATGGAGCTAGGCCTGTGCATGTCTAAACTGAATGTCTGGTGAGCTGTTATCCTCAGCCATTTGTATTGTCCATGTACTGTACAACCCCCGCTTGCCTTGTCAACGAAATTTGTTTCTATTTTGATATCTGTGTATGAACTTGATGAATTTATTTTTCAATATTAGAGAAGATATGTAGGACTTGAATTTATGTTTGTTTGGTGGCTGTGCTTGTATAGGCAGGTAGCTAGCTGCATGGAAGAGTCCTAATGCATTGAACAGTGTTCAGTCGACTCTCATAGTCACACAAAGTTACCAGGGACTGGACAGTAGGACAGCATTAGAAGAGCATACTACATTTTTAGTTGACTGATTAGAGATACCCCTACTCTGTACTTAATGTTTTTGATAGAAATGATATGATTATTGTATAATATATTGTTTGCAATGAATGTTATTAGAAGTATAGAGCATGCATTAGCTATACAGGCGATGAGGCGGGTCGGGAGAGGTGGGCGTATGTTAAACTTCAGTTATGGTAATCACATAGAGAAACATTGGTCTGTTTTGACAACTCATTAGTGATTATAGGAAGTGTTTATATGATAACAAGTCCTTGTTTATTAAACATCTTTGTGGGTTTGTCTGATGGTATAGTCATTATATTTACAACGAGGCAGACAGGCTGGGATAAAACTGATCATGTTACTGTATACAGGAAGGAGGCATCTTCCCACTCCAGATACCACTTACACATTCCCTTTAGTCATCCTTATGTTTTTACTAGAGCCAGTTAAAAAGAGAATTCGTTTTCTAATATTCCATCTTCTGTGTTTTGCATAATTGTTTACATGAGCGCATAAACATTTCATCTGTTCTACCTTACCTTGACGTGTAAATATCCTTTACAAAATAAAAGCCTTTTCTTAACTTTCTCAATTCATGTAGAAATTAGGATGTTTTTTTGCCTGGCTTTCAACAACATCTAGTCTCGTTAACATTGGACTAGCTCCATAAACAAATCAACAGTATCACTTACTAGTGTCCCCATATTATAGAATCAACAGTCAATGGACATCCATAGTAGAGACTCAACAGTTCATGGACATCTGCAGTACAGACTCAACAGCCCATGTACATGAATAGTACAGACTCAACAGTCTATGGACATCAATAGTACCTACTCAACAGTCCATAGACATCCATAGTAAAGACTCAACAATCCATGGACATCCATAGTACAGAGTCAACAATCCATGGACATCCGCAGTACAGACTCAACAGTCCATGGACATCCATAGTACAGACTCAACAGTCCATGGACATCAATAGTACAGACTCAACAGTCCATGGACATCCATATCACAGACTCAACAGTCCATGGACATCCCTAGTACAGACTCAACAGTTCATGGACATCGCAGTACAGACTCAACAGTCCATGGACATCCATAGTACAGACTCAACAGTCCATGGACATCAATAGTACAGACTCAACAGTCTATGGACATCCATAGTACAGACTCAACAGGCCATGGACATCCATAGTACAGACTCAACAGTCCATAGACATCAATAGTACCTACTCACCAGGCCATGGACAACCATAGTACAGACTCAACAGTCCATCCATGGACATCCATAGTACAGACTCAACAGTCCATGGCCATCCATATTACAGACTCAACAGTCCATGGACATCCATAGAACAGACTCAATAGGCCATGGACATCCATATTACAGACTCAACAGTCCATGGATATCTATCTTACAGACTCAACAGTCCGTGGACATCTGCAGTACAGACTCAACAGTCCATGGACATCCATAGTACATACTCAACAGTCCATGGACATCCATAGTACAGACCCAACAGTCCATGAACATCCATAGTACAGACTCAACAGTCCATGGATATCTATCTTACAGACTCAACAGTCCGTGGACATCTGCAGTACAGACTCAACAGTCCATGGACAGCCATAGTACATACTCAACAGTCCATGGACATCCATAGTACAGACCCAACAGTCCATGAACATCCATAGTACAGACTCAACAGTCCATGGACATCAATAGAACCTACTCAACATGCCATGGACATCCATAGTACAGACCCAACAGTCCATGAACATCCATAGTACAGACTCAACAGTCCATGGATATCCATAGTACAGACTCAACAGTCTATGGACATCCATAGTCCAGACTCAACAGTTTATGGACATGCATATTACAGACTCATCAATCCATGGACATCAATAGTACAAACTCAACAGTCTATGGACATCCATAGTACAGACTCAACAGACCATGGACATCCATAGTACAGACCCAACAGTCCATGAACATCCATAGTACAGACTCAACAGTCCATGGATATCCATAGTACAGACTCAACAGTCTATGGACATCCATAGTACAGACTCAACAGACCATGGACATCCATAGTACAGACCCAACAGTCCATGAACATCCATAGTACAGACTCAACAGTCCATGGATATCTATCTTACAGACTCAACAGTCCGTGGACATCTGCAGTACAGACTCAACAGTCCATGGACAGCCATAGTACATACTCAACAGTCCATGGACATCCATAGTAGAGACTCAACAGTCCATGGATATCCATAGTACAGACTCAACAGTCTATGGACATCCATAGTACAGACTCAACAGACCATGGACATCCATAGTACAGACCCAACAGTCCATGAACATCCATAGTACAGACTCAACAGTCCATGGACATCAATAGAACCTACTCAACAGGCCATGGACATCCATAGTACAGACCCAACAGTCTATGGACATCCATAGTACAGACTCAACAGTCCATGGACATCCATAGTACAGACTCAACAGTCCATCCATGGATATCCATAGTAAAGACTCAACAGTTAATGGACATCCATAGTACAGACTCAACAGTCCATGGACATCAATAGAACCTACTCAACAGGCCATGGACATCCATAGTACAGCCCCAACAGTCTATGGACATCCATAGTACAGACTCAACAGTCTATGGACATCCATAGTACAGACTCAACAGTCTATGGACATCCATAGTACAGACTCAACAGTCCATGGACATCCATAGTACAGACTCAACAGTCCATGGACATCCATAGTACAGACTCAACAGTCCATGGACATCCATAGTACAGACTCAACAGTCCATGGACATCCATAGTACAGACTCAACAGTCCATGGACATCCATAGTACAGACTCAACAGTCCATGGACATCCATAGTACAGACTCAACAGTCCATGGACATCCATAGTACAGACTCAACAGTCCATGGACATCCATAGTACAGACTCAACAGTCCATGGACATCCATAGTACAGACTCAACAGTCCATGGACATCCATAGTACAGACTCAACAGTCCATGGACATCCATAGTACAGACTCAACAGTCCATGGACATCCATAGTACAGACTCAACAGTCCATGGACATCCATAGTACAGACTCAACAGTCCATGGACATCCATAGTACAGACTCAACAGTCCATGGACATCCATAGTACAGACTCAACAGTCCATGGACATCCATAGTACAGACTCAACAGTCCATGGACATCCATAGTACAGACTCAACAGTCCATGGACATCCATAGTACATACTCAACAGTCCATGGACATCCATAGTACAGACTCAACAGTCCATGGATATCCATAGTACAGACTCAACAGTCTATGGACATCAATAATACCTACTCAACAGTACATGGACATCCATAGTACAGCCTCAACAGCCCATGGACATCCATAGTACAGACTCAACAGCCCATGGACATCCATAGTACAGACTCAACAGTCTTACATAGGGCCTCCTTCATATGGCTGAAAGCCCCCTAACCCCATCCCCTGGATTAGTGTACAACTTACAACAGAACATCTCCCTCCCCTCATATCATCACTGGCCTAACACAACTTCAGGCAGAATGCTTAGTCCTACCCTTCACCCTCACTATGTCAGTAAATAGCTTAACTCAATCTTATCCTTCACCTATATAACTATTTATAGCTTTATGTGCATGTCAGCCAATCAAAACACTTGCTGGTCAGTGTACCTTGTTCCAAATAGTTCACAGCAATATATTGGTTTATGGTAGAGTACACAACTCATTTAGAATAAGGAATTTTACACATGTGAAGACTTGATAAGTTACTATGGTGATCAAGTTCCACACTTTTGCCGGTGTGAGATATCCTTGTCTCACCTTAGGGTTGAGACGGGGGGATTCCCCTATTCACAACAATGTTATGACGTCATATCAACAATACAATGATGTCATGTCAACAATCCATCAACGTAACGTCAACCCTTACTTTTAGCCTGTAATGTTAACATTACATTATGTATATGATACACAATGGCAGAACAGGGTAAGGGAAAAAGAATCATTCACCCCCTTGAGGGTGAGATAGGGGAATCTCAACCCTCAGTGAAAGATTTTTAAGTTGCCAAACACTTGGCTTTCCCCAAGGGGGTGAATGAATCTATTATTCTACCTAACATAGGGTGAAAATTTGACTGCAGTGAGCCTTTCCCATTGTATAGTATATAATGGAGAATGAATGAAGTACAAAAAGGGAGTCAATTTTGTAGACTTACTTCATTTGCAGGTTGATCTTTAGATTATGAAAATTAAAATTATTAAAATCTAACACCATTGCATTTTTCAATATATTGTGATAATTAAACTTAACTCATTCACCCCTGAAATTTCATAATGAATGTATTCAAACCATTGAAATGGAAGAGTTCAAATGTGTCTATAGGGGTGAATGAGTTAAGATGGGTTTGCTCTCATTTTCCATATATCTAAGCATAACCGTTAACCACCATTTCTTGTTGTTCTTCATTGAATCATTGCCATCAGGGTGAACAGTCTTTACTGAAACCTGTGGCAGCTCATCTATAGAGTATAACCGTATGATAGATCATCTATAGAGTATAACAGTATGATAGATCATCTATAGAGTATAATAGTATGATAGATCATCTATAGAGTATAACAGTATGATAGATTATCTATAGAGTATAACAGTATGATAGATCATCTATAGAGTATAACGGTATGATAGATCATGTATAGAGTATAACAGTATGATAGATCATCTATAGAGTATAACGGTATGATAGATCATATAGAGTATAACAGTATGATAGATCAACTATAGAGTATAACAGTATCATAGATCATGCAATCAAAATCACAGAATTTTATTCACCGGGAAGGCAACAAATTTATGGTAAAATTGCATGTTATTTTGGTGATGAGAATATTTTGCTGTATGATAAAAACATAGGTTGATACAGGGTAGTTAGACAGAGATTAAACAGGGTGTATCGACTCCTGCTTAGGGTGATATTTCTGTGTCTTAAAGGTCTGCCGTACGAGGTGACAGTCTGGACAAGCAACAAAACAAGTGCTGGAACCGACGCCAATGTCTTCCTTCAGATGTACGGTGACAGCGGCAAAACGGAGAAGGAAGTCCTCAACAACCGCTCAGATAATTTTGAAGCCAACAAGAAGGACACGTTCAAGGTCATACGCTCATATAAAATTAGCTGAGTTCAAGGTCATACAATCATATAAAATTAGCTGAGTTCAAGGTCATAAAATATGAGATAGAGTGAGCTAAGTTTAATGTCATAATAATAGATAGAATGTTCAAGGTCATAATGATAAATAGAATGTTCAATGTCATAATAATAGAGAGAATGTTCAAGGTCATAATAATAGATAGAATGTTCAAGGTCATAATGATTGATAGAATGTTCAAAGTCATGCAATCAAAAGGAATTGATTTTTGCCTTACAATATCACATGGAAAGAGCTATAACTAAAAATATTCAAATTGAAAATTGAAATGTCAGTAAGTACTAATGTAAATTAGGATAGTGGATGCAATGTAATAATAATAGTTCTGAAGACGATTTCAAGATGAAAAAAGTAAGCCTTGTTGAAAGAAAGACATTGTTATTCTGTAACGTTAATATTCTGTTTTGATCCTAAATTGATATTTTATAGAAAAGTGCCTTAAAATAACTAGAGTTGGTTTGTGATTGTTACAGATTGAAGCATCTGATGTCGGCAGGATCCAGAAGATTAGGATCGGCCACGACAGTGTTGGAATGTTTTCTGGATGGCATCTTGAAAAGGTAGGAGTTATCTTCTCTTGTTTCACATGTTTTGACCATTAACATGGATGTTATCTGGATGACATCTTAAAAAGGTAGGAGTTATCTTCTCCTGTTTCACATCATTCACATGGATGTTTTTTGGATAACATCTTGAAAAGGTTGGAGTTATCTTCTCCTGTTTCACATCTTTTGACCATTCACATGGATGTTTTGTGGATGGCATTTTGGAAAGGTAGGAGTTATCTTCTCCTGTTTCACATTTTTTTTACCATTCGCCATTGCATTAATGGTCAAGCAATATTTTCATTTTAACTCAAGTTAGACTCAATGAAACTACCAAATGTTGTACATTTCATTTGCTCATGGAATTGAACAGATTAAAATGTTGATGCATATGAGATTTTGTCTAAGTATTAATCCAACATTGCAACAATAAAAGGTTTCTTTGTATTTATTGAACATGGCTTTACTGACAAATATATAAGTCCATAATCACACTATGCTTGTGTGCTATAAAAATGGTCCATGATGTAGACTAGCACAAGTTCCAGTATATCGGGTGTATAATGATAGACTTACACAAGTTCCAGGTTTTATTCTGATTTATATCAACAACAATCTGTTTGATTGCTGTAACAGTTTGTGTGTCTCTTACATATCAGTATATGTGATTACTGATTGCTGTAACAGTATATGTGATTACTGATTGCTGTAACAGTATGTGTGATTACTGATTGCTGTAACAGTATATGTGATTACTGATCGCTGTAACAGAATGTGTGATTACTGACCGGTGTAACAGTATGTGTGATTACTGAATGCTGTAACAGTGTGCGTGTTTACTGATCGCTGTAACAGTGTGTGTATTTACTGATAGCTGTAACAGTAATGAGTATGTGTGTTTACTGATAGCTGTAACAGTATGTGTGTTTACTGATTGCTGTAACAGTAAGTGTGATTACTGAATGCTGTAACAGTATGTCTGTTTACTGATTGCTGTAACAGTATGTGTATTTACTGATAGCTGTAACGATATGTGTATTTACTGATCGCTGTAACAGTATGTGTATTAACTGATTGCTGTACCAGTATGTGTAATTACTGATCGTTGTAACAGTATGTGTGTTTACTGATCGCTGTAAAAGTATGTGTGATTACTGATCGCTGTAACAGTATGTGTGATTACTGATCGCTGTAACAGTATGTGCATTTACTGATCGCTGTAATGGTATGTGTGTTTACTGATTGCCGTAACAGTATGTGCATTTACTGATCGCTGTAAAAGTATGTGTGTTTACTCATCGCTGTAACAGTATGTGAATTTACTGATCACTGTAACGGTATGTGTGTTTACTGATTGACGTAACAGTGTGTGTGTTTACTCATCGCTGTAACAGTATGTGTGTTTACTGATCACCGTAATGGTATGTGTGTTTACTGATTGCTGTAACAGTGTGTGTGTTTACTGATTGCTGTAACAATATGTGTGTTTACTGATCACCGGATGGTATGTGTATTTACTGATCGCTGTAACAGTATGTGTTTTTACTGATTGCTGTAACAGTATGTGTTTTTACTGATCATTGTAACAGTATGTGTATTTGCTGTAACAGGTTTTGATCCAGAGACACCCAATAAAGGGAACACGTAAGACCCCCAAGCGCAAACGAACTCCATCAGCAAATGAGCGACGGAAGTCCCTGGTGTCTGACCTACAAGAAAGAGATGAGGATTCCGACGGAAGTAACTCCTCCTCGTCTCCCACACCTCGCCGAAGAAGAAGTTTCAAGAAACACAAAGAGCCAGAGCTAAAGACAGTGGAAGAGGAAAGTGAGGAGGATGTTTATGATGGCACAGAGACGGAGGATTACTGGTTCTTTGTCAATGAGTGGTTTGCTCGCAGCGAAGGTGACGGAGCTATCCAAAGGGAGTTCACTCCCACCGACAAGGATGGCAAGCCACTCAAGGGGGCTCTCCAAGGTAACACATACTTTATATTTGAATTGATTATTGCAAGAATGGAAAATAGTCATCAGACACAAGCCATAAAATTGTTTTATGTATGTACATTCCAACCTACCTTAGAGACCACATGCATATAACTACTGGTTTATGAAGTCCTCAGTTGTTTCCTTTCTTATTTCAACAACCTGTCTATACCGACCACTTGTCCATAAAACTGTTTTTGCTTTTTCCCTGGGGTAGTCATTACAGACATTTTTGACCATGTATCACACTTATTTAAAAAATACTTGTTTCAAATATTTTATTCTTCATCATAATTCATCCACTAACGTTTCAAGTCGATATTTTCACTTACTCAACATTGTTGGAATGAAAAGCTTCTATGTCTAAAATAAATTGAATATTTTCCAAAAATAGCTTATATGAAAAACTTGTGTCAGATTAAAGATAATAAGGTATCAGGAGTATACATACTACGATAACCATTATGATCGTTATGTAACCTTACGATGAAAGCTTCCGTGTGCTTGATCTTGTAGGACAAGCTAGTGGTGAGTTTAGTTATTGTACACACACAGTCACATTGATTCCTGTCACATAACACAAGTTTAGTTATTGTACACAGTCACATTGATTCCTGTCACATTACACAATACTTCACAAATATAAATTCCAATACAACTCTTCATCGGTTGACACACATTTTGGCACCTTTACATTGTGTTAAGTTTTATGAAAATTTGTTTTTAAATTTGAGGGCTATGTTTTAATATGGGTGAATTTCATTATACCAGTACTTGTCAGGCCTGATTAAAAATATGGATATTTGGATATTTCATACATAACTTTACCTCCTGTTTTTACATCATCTAAACAATTACTATTATTATAATAGTTGTGTTTTAAGGAGAGATCTTGTTGTATATTGTTTACTCCAGCAGTAGTTTGAAAGCAAGTCTAGTTTGTCAGAACTGTGTCATAAGTGATTTTTCTCACCTCTCTATTCTGGTTTTGACTGGGTCTCCCTCCCTGGGCACTCATCACCATTCGACCACAGTTGTTGGGAGGATGTTAACATACCAGCCACATCACCAAGTCAAAAAATCATTAACTACAGCTCTGTCATAAATGTACTATACACAAACACGAACACATATCTGTCGTCAGTTGTCTACATTCGGATGTCACAATGGGTGTTATCACACAAGCTAGTGCATAACAAATTTGACTCACTGCACACCATGAAAGGTGATAAAGTAAAGTCTGTAATCATGTCTTTTTATTTGTGTTACAGATGTCGAGTATGAAATACATGTGTTTACCGGAAATGTGCGAGGTGCAGGTACAGACTCCAATGTGTTTGTCAACATATACGGGGAAAAGTTCGACTCCGGCGAAAGGCAGCTCAAAGATTCAAACAACTTAAATAAGTTTGAAAATGGCCAGGTACACAATTTGTTTTAATATGACCTGTAGTGTCACGATAAAATTAAAAACTATGGACAATGACTGGTACATATTCTGCCATCCTTAAGGCACTTGAGACTTCTGTATACCAGGAAACTATCGCTGAGTCAAGTATTCTCCCTTCACATGTAATTACTATTGAGGGTAAACTGTGAACTAATAGTCTCCCTTCACATGTAATTACTATTTAGGGTAAACTGTGTACTAATTGTCTCCCTTCACATGTAATTACTATTGAGGGTAAACTGTGTACTAATAGTCTCCCTTTACATGTAATTACTATAAAGGGTAAACTGTGAACTAATAATCTCCCTTCACATGTAATTACTATAGAGGGTAAACTGTGTACTAATATTCGCTGTCATGAAAAATTCACCCTTATTGCAAAGGGCGAAAAAAGGCAAAAATGAAACTACCCGGTATAAAGTATCAAAGCTTGTTATAGTTGAGTAACACAAATTGATGTTAAGTGCAGATGCTCAGCTTTTGTACCTTTTGATCTTCTTCAAAGACCGTAGTGAGAAAAATTTGTCTTTCCGATGATACAACGTGATTGCAGAATATTGATCGTGTCATTTAGTCAACATTTTAATTATTAAAATGGTAAAATTTACTTGAATCATGCTGCTTTACAGGAGGATATTTTCAAGATGAATATTAAAGATTTGGGACGGTTAGTGAAATTGCGTATTCGCCATGACAACGCAGGAATTGGTGCCGCCTGGTACCTTGATAGAGTTGAAGTTGTTGATACGAGGAAACGACAAACGTAAGTTTAAATATCTTAAAAAATAAATAATAAAAAGCAATAAATGGAGATGTTGCTCATTCATGTTTTGTTTTAAATGTGCAGTTATTGTTCATACAAGTACAAAACAATCAGTTAATGTGAACTCTTTTGTGTTGAAGTTTCTACTTCCTGTGTCAGCGTTGGTTGGCGACAGGAGAAGATGACGGACAAATCTGTAGAGAACTGGTTCCTGTTGATAAATCATTGCTTGGTAAATCAGGAAAGGATTCTGCTAGGGCTGAGGTCGCCCTGGAAACCAAAGGTAATGTATCGTTAGTTTTATATGATAAAATGACATTGCATACTTGTATAAAATACCATCAAATCTAATACTTCCACGCACTGAACCTAAATTTGATTGTGACCTTAACAAGTATATTTTTGAATGATTCATAAGTTGGGGAAAAGTTTGATTCTATCTCCCTATTTGTAACTGTTTTAGAAAGGTGACAGAAAATTAGTTCAATTTAGTGCTCCATCTGCTAAAAAGATTTAAAAGATTTATTCCATTTTGTTTTCACAGCTGCCATGACAACTTACTATGTGAATGTGAAGACAGGAACAGTATGGGGGGCGGGAACTGATGCCAATGTTTATATCCTACTGTTCGGTGACAAGGACCATACAGGTGAGAGGGAGACAACTCTGGCACTCAGATATAAACAAGAGCTATGAAATGTACCGGTATCTTTGTTTTATGTCATCTAATCAGTAGTACTTTGTAAAGTCCAATTTTTAAAGCAGATTCTGGCAAAAGGCTTAATCTTTCTTGTTCAAATTTTCATCACCTCAAATTAATGTATTGATCAATGAAAGAAAAAATACCAGGATGAGAAGTAGAATGCATCTAGCACAGAAACTGATTTTTTTTTTGTTCAAAGAAAAGTTATACAATTTTTTGATAATTATTGTTGCTATCTTGTCTCAGACACTATCTTCCTGAAATCATCCATGACAAACAAGAACAAGTTTGAAGGTGGACAGACAGACAAGTTCCTGGTGGAGGCTGTCAACATCGGTGAACTTAAGAAAATCAAGTGAGTAAGAGATTATGTGTCAAGTTATCCCACTCATCAAGACTTCATTTAAAACATATTTTATTTCATAATATATTTATCTAGCAGAGGAGACATCCAGTTAGTATCTGTAAAGGATTGCTATTCTACAGAATGTGGTCACCATCAAATATCTTTTAGTATTTTTTTGACATTGCCTTGTTTTTGTCACCAGGATTGGCCATGACGATGCAGGAGGTGGCGCCCCCTGGTTCCTTGATAATGTGGTAATTGACAGCCCGTCACTAGGCAAATGTTGGGTATTCCCCTGTAATAAGTGGCTCAGCTCTAAGGATGGGGATTGTCAACTAGAGCGTGAACTCTGGCCACAGGAGCTAAACACCCAGGAGTACACACCATGTAAGTATAGCTCAATAAGGCAACTGTACATGCAGAGAGGAAGGCGTGGATCACAGTAAACATTTACCGTACATTTCAATACCTGGTATATCTAATTAAAGTCATCTGCAGGTTTGTGCTTTAAGAAAATAAACCAAAAATCAATTCATGATTTGTCAAGATAACAAGAGATCCCAGAGGGATCTTGGCGCCTACCATTGTACCATATTCAAAACTGAATTAATGTATTCAAAATGTATTTTATAAATTGGAAATGGATTCCTTAAAAATTTAAAGAAAAGAAAAATGCTCCTTTTTCCTTTTGAAATCCACACAAGGAGTCACATAGTAAGATGTCATGACAACTGTAAAGAGAAAACGAAAAACTGGAATAAATCAGAAATTTAATCACTAATATCTTTCTGGCAGATGAAGCACTATATTAAACTAATCTTCTGATTAATATCTTTCAAGGAGGAAACAAGAAAGTGGGATTAATTTTGATCCTTCATATTACATAATAATGTATAAGAAATTTTCACTCAGCAATGATGCTATGAATTCATATTACAAAATATGCCAATATGTTTGCTATGCATATTTTTAAATACATTTGTAAAAAGTTCACACGGATTGAAGATGTGACTGAGCAATGAGATGTAACCCATACTTACCTTTTCCCAGGTATCCCATACGAGATCAAAGTGTACACGTCGGACAAGTCAGGGGCGGGTACCAGTGCTGAAGTCTACATCCAACTGTACGGCAAGGAGTTGTGCACCACTCAAAAACAGATGTGTCCCACCAAACGCGAACGAAATGACAAGTTTAAGCGCAATGCCTGTGATCTCTTCCTGCTTGAGGTAGTTATTCACATATCAGATAGACTTCAGTAATAGAAACATTTATATCCATTAACAAATTTTATCCATAAAAAAATAATTAGAAAAAGACGATCAGTTTATCACTCTTAAGAATTTTATATTTTGGCTATAATACAACCATGCTTTGTTGTAGCTGTTTGGATCATGAACTTCTTGTAAATATTGTTGAAATCATTGAAAATAAACTATAATGGAACCAAAAAAGGATTCAAATAATTCACATTTATGATATGAAATAGACTTTACCTTTGTACTGTAAAACCTGTCTATTGTGACCTCTGATACCCTCTCTAATCAGACAACAATATTTATAGTGTCAGATTATCCAGGTCTCACTGTACATATATCTCTATGCTTATCAGTGTTAATATTCTGCCTGGGTTTGGACACACAGTAACTTTGACGTTTACAGTAGACTATATATAGTATGCTATGTACTAATGTACCTGTTTCTCATTATGGAAGACGGAAAGTGTTAAAATTAAACTGGGATAAAAAAAATACCAGAATACTACAGGAGTTTGACGCACATATTATAAAAGACTGTGACATCATAAAAGAATGACATGTTCCTCATTATTGTCTGGTTTTTGACAGATGGAGGATGTCGGGGACACAATAGAGAAAATCAGGATTGGACACAACAATTCAGGCTTGACGGCTGGCTGGCATCTCAATCGTGTCGAGATCCGCAAACTCCACGAAACTGGACGGGTAAGTCTGTCAGCGTATATCTGACTTCAAATAGCTCTCTGGATTGGCGGACATTTACATTATTTAAATCAAGATGTCTGCTTCTATGTTTACATATACGTGCATTGAATTAACATGAAATGTTGAGAAATGAAACTGAGAAAAAAGGAACAATTAACTCTGAAGTTAAATTACCATATAGTAAAATCTCGATAAAATGCCTATCTTTCCATTTGCCACCAACTCATTTCAACTCATTTCAAGGTCATATTTTTCTTTTTCGTAGGAATTCCTTTATTTATTTGGCAATAAATGTAGTTCAAAATGAAATGAGGAGAATTATAACAAGGTTTCACTGACAATAATGTTGGCCTCTTGTTGTGCATGTGATCACCATGATCTGAAAATATCTTGTATGCCATTATCAATGTCAAGGTCACATTAAATAACACATATCTGTTCTTTACCACTACAGGGATCACAGGTAGGTTGTCTGTTGCCGTGGTGATTAGGTGTTGCTAGTATTGTAGAAATCCTGCATGAGTTGTTATTATTAAGTTTGTTCCTTTGATTTCATCTTCGCTCACCCACAGTTGATAAGTTTGTGGGTCACCGATGATACCTTGGTTGATTGATTTTCTTCAAAGGTCAAAGGACCACCTCTATGGTCTTATGATAAGTGGACATATAGCTTTACAGTCATCAACAAAGCTCTCAAAATAAGTTAAAGCATGTTAACTGAATCTTGAGATATAATGATTATGACACTCATTTAAGCGAACAAATGAATGTGCAGCTGCTGCAACAATTTTTAGTAAACATCAATCTGCATGTAAAATAAGACATTTTCGTTATTATTTCAAAACATGTGATTATATGTTTTAATATATATGCATATGTTTTGAGCTAATATTTCCTGTATCCTTTTGAAAAGATATCAATTTGCATTTTCAGAGTGGAATAAAATATAGGATTTATTGTAAAGTCACATAAATGTCTGTTGATGATTATATTTTGCCATCCTTTTTGAAATTATTTTGAAACCTTATGTATATATGTTTCAAATGAAACTAGAAAGATGAATAAAAAATCGTTAAGAAGCTCTTTTTTTCAAACAGAGGGAGCTAACTCCAAAACACGCCAAATATTTCCCAGTTATCTCCCTTGTAGGGTACATGAAAACAATTTGTTGTCATTCCTCCAAAATATCACCTTGTCACTACATCTTTTCGTTTATACTTATTGGCCCATTGTTGTATTGTTTGTGTTAATGATGCTTTCCAGGAGCTAATTACTTTGAGCTTGAAATTGACAAACGATCACTCTTTTAGTATACGGTTTGTTAATCCTCACTTTGAAAGGAGTACGTACCAGGTAACAAAACCATATAGAGTATAACATATTGCCGAGGATCATATGGAAGTTAATATTCCCTCAAAAAATGTCAGTGTAGACTGTAGCTTAACAAGACTAAACATGATGTGCTTTAGAGTTCTTTGCAAGGGAGTTAACTCCCCAAGATCTACCCATTATTGGATTGCCAAAGTTATTTCAAGACTGGAAAAGTTTCTTATTTATCTGATGTATCATTATTCAGTTTTTTTTATTTCATTTGTGAATTGCAAAAATTATTTCACTTGTGAATTGCAAAAACAACGATATGTTAAACAGAAATCCCCCTCGTGGTACATGTAGTTATACAGCTGTATTATACATGTACTCTAAGTGATCTGGCCTCAGACTCCTCTTTGTCTTCTGTTATCAATAACTCTACCTGTGAGAGCTAGCCTACAATATTAATTCTACATTTCAAAAGGATTGTTTTGATACCAGTGAATTTGATATGTCATTAAACATTTCTGCTTGCTCCTCAAAATTATGTGATAAACTGTACACATATTATGTAACATAAATATATTACCTCAAAGTTGACTAATTAGACACTGACTGCATGAGCATGCCAACAGATTGATGATGGGAATGTCTAAACTTTAATTTATAACAAAAACATTAAAACAATAATTGAAAAAAACAATCTAACAACCTACATTGATATGGCGTACCAATGTGTGATGAGCATGTAGTTGTGTGCATGTTGCTAGATTTTACAGTGTTAGTCACTAACTGTTCATTAAGTTACCATACATGTCTACCAATTGTTTGTTGACCTTTTGACCTTCAACTGTTGTAGGGGTCAATCACATTTGTGTTTCCATGTGACCGCTGGTTGGCACGAGATGAGGACGACACAGCAATAGAGCGGGAACTCATCGCCGGCAAAGTCCATCAAGAACTCATAGGGAAAGATGGACAGGTCAAGAAAAAGGACATCAAACTCCGTGACCAGCTTCAAAGTAGGTCACACCACTAGGTCAAAGATACTTGATCCTCATAATGCTATGATTAATCATAAGAAATGTTATTCAGTAGATTTAGGCACTGTGATAATGCAATATAACAAAGCTTAAGAAAAAAGGAAAATATTTTCATCAGCCATCAATTATCATATCTAGCTGAATCTTTTGCTAATGAGACATTTGAAAACGTCTTCAAAATCAACACTAAAAAGTCTCTTTTCTTCATGTTTGCAGACAAGCATTATGTAGTGAATGTCCACACGGGAGACGTGAGTGGGGCGGGTACTGATGCTAATGTGTTCCTCACTATCTGGGGTGACCGTGGTGACAGTGGGGAGAGGAAGCTACACAAGTCAGATACCTACAGCGACAAGTTTGAACGCAACCATGTGAGTCGTCTGTGTAAATCACTCAGTAAATAAACCCTCTTAATGTCAAATTCAGAAGGTCAATACAATAGATCCTATCTTGAGAGACCAGTCTTCTGCCAATAACCTGCCTTAAGAGACCACCCCTACTGCCAATAACCTGCCTTTAGAGACCACCCCTACTGTCAAACAGTAATGCTATTTCTCATTGATAATGATATTTTGTGTAGAGATCTGAACTGTTTTGTTAAATTTTGTTGACAGATTGATGTCTTCAAGATGGACATTGTTGATTTAGGAAACATCTACAAAATCAAAATTCGCCATGACAACTCAATGTTTAACCCAGCCTGGTATCTTGATTATGTTGAAATAATTGACCAATCAAACAACCAGAAATACATGTTTCACTGTGAGAGGTGGCTCGCTAAGAACAAGGACGACAAAAAGATACAGCGCTCCATCTATGTCAAGGTCAGTAGTTTTAAGAGTAGATGTTAGAGCTGGGAGATAGACCTCTCAGGGATTGTTACCTTATTGTGATTTGTAAAACAATACCAATACAATACTACGATAAAATGTAGTTTCATGTTATTTACCATGATTTTTATCAAATGTACTTAATTAATTTCATGACATCTGAAATTGTGATTTTTGTCTATTACTTATGCCCAGTGAAAGTTATTACTAATTGTTATGATAAAGGGAGGTAACCCATTAAGAATTATCTTTATAATAGGGTTTGATGATTTCCATGATTATTGAATAATATTGGTTAATTGTAAGGGCTATGACGGTGAGATGGAGTCCAGCACAGGGACACTGGGTACGATGAAGTCCACACGCTATGGTTCTGTGGCCAGTCTCGACTCCCTGAAGAGTACCGACCCATTCTCTAAGTCCCCCCGTCTATCACGCAAACAGCAGCTCGCTCAGGAGGAAATGCCTGATGGTGACAGTAAGTTCAATAAGTGAATGGAGTTTATCCAGAAAATATCATTATATTAACAGTATAGCTAAAACAATCTTCCATTCCCTCATACAGGGTAACATGGGAATTTCACAAAGATATTAGATGAAATTTAAAAAACAAGATTTTTTCTTAAATTTAGGTCTATCCTAACTGTCATTCTTCCTTCCTAGATATTTCCTCTATTTTAATAACTCATTTTGAGTGACCTGTGTTAACTGACCACTCGTCTAAACTGACCTCTTGGGGATACAGGACAGGTTTCCTGTGGATATGTAATAAAGGTTCACATTAACCTAACTCTTTAAAAACTTGAAAACAACTGACACGCAAACCCTATTTTAGAGTGAAACCCCCCATTTTGGACCCTACATTTGGACATATATAGTCAGTAAACTTGCTAAACTATTCCTATGTTCTAAATATTAATGATTTTATCTCAAAATATGCCATGCCATTCTAAAGTGCTATTTTTTACTTAAAGGGTTTTATATCCTGACCTTTTATACCCTGACCTTTTATATCTTGACCTTTTATACGCTGACCTTTTATATCCTGACCTTTTATATCCTGACCTTTTATACCCTGACCTTTTATACGCTGACCTTTTATTTCCTGACTTTTTATATCCTGACCTTTTATATCCTGACCTTTTATATCCTGACCTTTTATACCCTGACCTTTTATATATGTTTCAAATTTTGAGCATGTGCAATCTCCCCCATTAGAATTTCAAATGGTCAGCAAGTATATATGTATGTTACAGTACACAGTACATGTTTAGCTTATCCATTAAAACTCTACACTTTGACACCAATATTTGCATACAAGAAATATGTGATACATAAAATGAGTAATGTTTCATTGTTACAGCAATACCATACACGATTAAGGTGTCGACGGGGAAGGGGAAGGATGACGGCACCACTAGTAATGTGTGGGTGCGAGTCATAGGCCCGCGCAAGAGGGACACTGGCCGACTGTTCCTAGAACTCGCTCAGAAGGATCGTTTCATGGCTGGTTCTGTAGAAACCTTCTCACTGGAGGCTGTAGACGTAGGCGAAGTCAAAAAGCTGGAGGTAAGATTGATCAAACATGTAGCTTGTATTTCCGTGGTTTGTTTTATTTTTAGCTGCTACTTATATTTGTGATTTAGAACTGCCTGGATATAAATGAATGAAATTAGTAATAAAAGACGCATATTTCCTTAAATGTTTTTGAATATTCAAGTCATGTTAGCCATTTGCAATTTTGTCTATTTTTTCCCTTTAAATGAATTATGAGTGATGAACATTGATGGAAAGGATTGACATGGGTAATTTACAGAAGACCATAAATTGGGAAAAAAAGAAAAGAAGAAACTTGAGAAGAAACATTTTTCATATATAACTACCAGATCTATACAATAAACCTCATTATAATGCTACATACTCCTATACTGAAATACCTCAGTACAATTTTACTCATTGTCTCTGGTTGACAGATCGGCCATGACGGTGAGGCTCCGGGAACAGGCTGGTTTGTGTGGGAGGTCAGTGTTGATGTGCCAACCAAGGGAAAGCACTATGTGTTCCAGTGTAAACAGTGGCTCGCCCGCGATAAGTCTGACGGCAAGACGGTTAGGGTGTTCACTCTGGATGATGGTGTCAGTACTGTTACATCATACAAACCAAGTAAGTGTGGTACACCATTTGATCATGGCTGTCTGAGCTTATCAGCAGAAGACGTTTTCACACCCCTTCCAACACCTTCACTGGTACACAAATTATGAATGTATATCAATCTACAGCAATGAGGACCTACCTTCTTTCCAAGGGCTCATTAATTAACAAATGTAGATCATTATACTACATGTATATGTATTCCATATGGTAATTAGATTGCTTGACCTCTGACCTTGTGTTATAGTGGTACAATACGAGTGTGAGGTAACAACGGGTGACATCACAGAGGCGGGCACGGACACTCAGATCACACTTACAGTGTTTGGAGCCAAGGGCACTTCAGCTCCCATCCCTCTTGAGAAGGTTGGAGACAGATTCGAACGAGGTCACAGTGACCTCATCAAGGTATTATATTGGAACCAATAAAAGTTCTGTACATTTAAATTTCATTGCAAATTTATTTTTAGAAAGTAGCAAACATTGAGAATTTGTTTTCCCCAAAACTAGGACAGGTAACATTGCATTTGAAAAATATTGGTAAACTTGAAAGTTTGAAAAAACACTGATGTACATGCATAATCTGGTCGATATTGCATAGGAAAGTAGAGAGAAATGAATTATATTGAGTTATTGTTTCATTGGTGGAAATAAATAAATTGTTTTGAGTAACTTGTTCACAGTTGGAAATGGAAGATGTTGCACCTATAAAGAAGATCAGAATACAGACCAATGGCAAAGGTAGCCGACCAGAGTGGCATCTGGAAAAGGTGAGAGGTTATCAAGGTCAAGGTGAAAGGTCAACAGTGACTGTTATATTTTCAGACTAGAATATAATGCTATCTTGTGTTATGTATTTAAAGCTCAGTTGAAAACAAGATATGTAAATACCCAATAATTTATAAATTCTCCTTTGCATTTGTGTTGTTTCTATGGTAACAGTTTTGGATTATATTTTAAGCTGACGCTGCGTAGCTATGAGACTGATGCCCTATCCGTGTTTGAGGTCAATGATTGGTTTGGCAAGAAGAAGGGCGTATTAATGCGGGACATCGCTGCAAAGGAGAGAGGCAAATTTGTCATCAAAGGTGAGCGAGTGGTAACCTGCCCTGAAAACACTGCTGTGTAATGGGAAGGTTTGTATAAAGACTACCACACAAATAGAGCAAAAACTGCCATAATAGATGTATGTCTTTGTAGACAGGTTGTCATTTTTATAGAAAACCTGACTTAGGGTATCCTTAAGATGGTAGTCATTGACAGATGTTGTAAAAAGATAGGTGACCCTATAGGCAGGTGGTCTTTACAGATGGATGGCCTTAAGGCAGACTCACTTTACATTAATAATAATGTGCTATCCCTATATTACGGTCCTAATAATATCTCATTAACAACAACTATTATAAGTGTCTGACCTTCACATGATTTGATTTTTGATTTCCTGGTTGTAGAGACGTCCTACAAGATTTCGGTGAAGACCTCTGATGTGAGTGGCGCCGGAACAGATGCCAAGGTGTTTGTGACTTTGTTTGGAGCCAATGGTGATACAGGTGAAATCCATCTGGATAAGTCGGAAACGTACAAAGATCCATTTGAGAATAACCAGATTGATGTGTTTACGATACAAAAGATCCTCAGTGTCGGAGAACTGTCCAAATGCCGTGTGTGGCACGACAATTCAGGTAAGTAATACTTGATTGACATGTCTTATGTGATTCAGATGCATTGTGCTCAAGACATTTGTGAATTGTATACCGGTGTCCTATAAAATATTTATCCCCATAAGATAACTATCCGGATGAGTATTTTATGCATAAAATATTCATCCGGATGAGTATTTTATGGGGGATGAAAATTTTATATGCCACCGGGAAATTTTCTCCCAGTCAAATATTCTCCCTTTTCCGATAAAAACCTGTTTGCTAAGTGTTAATTTTGTCCTTCACATGGAAATTTTATTTATTTTGTGTTGTGTACATAAACTTGCTGCCATGATAAGTTTGTCATCATTGGGAAGGGCGAAAACGGTATACAGTGTAGTACTAATATACCTATAGTCAATCTCTTTATGGAGGAGTTAAAAAAAAGTGGTGTTAGATCAATTAAGTCTTCATTGAGGAAGTAACATGTCACTAGGAGAACTCTTCAGTGAGAAGAAAGAAAGGTGTAGTGTGACAGAAATTCTTCAGTGAAAAAAAAAAAAGTGATGTTTTTGGAAACATTTTCCTGCAATAAAAGAGTAATAAGGGAACACTCAGCTAAATGTCATGTAACTCTATTTGTTATCTGTAAATGTGTTTGTTTCAATATGTTTGTAATCATGTAGTATTTGTACTAAGGACAACACAGAACTGTTGATAGTTGGACTCTATACTTAATATAAGTATGGTTCAGTGTACTTATTGTTTGTCTGAAGGGTTCAGTATACTTATTGTTTGTCTGTAGGGTTCGGTATACTTATTGTTTGTCTGTAGGGTTTGGTATACTTATTGTTTGTCTGTGGGGTTCAGTTTACTTATTGTTTGTCTGTAGGGTTCAGTATACTTATTGTTTGTCTGTAGGGTTTGGTATACTTATTGTTTGTCTGTAGGGTTTGGTATACTATTGTTTGTCTGTAGGGTTCAGTATACTTATTGTTTGTCTGTAGGGTTCAGTGTACCTATTGTTTGTCTGTAGGGTTTGGTATACTTTTGTTTGTCTGTAGGGTTTGGTATACTCTTGTTTGTCTGTAGGGTTTGGTATGCTGTTGTTTGTCTGTAGGGTTTGGTATTCTTATTGTTTGTCTGTAGGGTTTGGTATAGTTATTGTTTGTCTGTAGGGTTCAGTGTACCTATTGTTTGTCTGTAAGGTTCAGTGTACCTATTGTTTGTCTGTAGGGTTCAGTATACTTATTGTTTGTCTGTAGGGTTCGGTGTACTTATTGTTTGTCTGTAGGGTTCAGTGTACCTATTGTTTGTCTGTAGGGTTCAGTGTATTGTTTGTCTGTAGGGTTCGGTGCTGCATGGCATCTCGCCTACATTGAGGTGGAGGACCTCAGTACTAAGAAGGTCTACACATTCCACTGTGACAACTGGCTGTCCAAGAAGGATGGTGACAAACAGATCCTACGGGAGCTGACGTGTGGAACCATCGCCAAACCTTCCACTGGCGACAAAGAGACGACCAGTACGTTGTTGCAACTGTTTATGCTTTTCATAAAAAAGATAAGTAAATTGATCAGAAACAGAAACTACATTGAAAAAGTTAAATTTTATTTCAGAGATTATCTTATTGAATTGTCTATTCCCATCTGTAAAACGATAGCTCTGATAAAGAATGATACTATAAAGATGCATGTATGTGGTTTATTTTTAAACCTATAATCATTAAGACATGCCCTATAGACCTGACTATGTTACAGGTTATGAACTTGAGGTGAAGACATCTGATAAGAAGGAGGCAGGAACAATTCACCACGGCTGGGTCATACTGGAGGGCAGCAAGGAGAGTGTCAAATATAAACTGGAAAACAGCGCTCGTAACAAAATACTTCGCAGGTAAGCTCCACTTCACTTAAACTGAATAGCAAAACAATCTTTAAAATTAAAAATAACTGGAATATATTAAAACATTTTATTTAAAAAGAAAATTAATTAAATGTTTGATTTGTAATTGTCAGGGGTAACACAGACTATTTCCAAGTTCCGTCCCGCCCCCTGGGAAAACTTAAACGTGTGATAGTGGGTGCGGCCGAGCGCGAGGACCACCCTCTCCAGGACATGGAGGGCCACGAAGCTATGTGGTTCTGCTACGAAATCAATGTCACGGACACCACAACCGGTAACAAGTAAGTTCACAGTCAGCACCGCCTTCATCTTGGTAACATTGCAGTCTCCATACACAGGAAATTTTCTCCTTTAATATGGATGCAAATCTAGACATTGAACTGTTCTTTATAGACAGTTGTCCACAGATTTATTCCATTGTGTACAGTGAAACCTGTCTAAAGCAGACACTACTGGGACCCGTTTTTCCGTTCAGAATATAAAGGCTCTTATTAACACATATTTAATTTCCATAAAACTGAATGTGGTCAACTCTCTACTCTGTCTTATTCACAAATTCAGTGTCTGTAAAATGTAAAGTTAGAACTTCTGTCTATTTCACTAATCTTTCATTTTGTTAAACAATCTAACTAAAGTCAGATTTGAAAAACAATTCTGTATCAACCATTATTAATAAGAACATATATCATCTACAAGAAATATACAAGGAAATTGGCATGTTGATATTTCTCAGTTGTTGTTAATAAAAAAATAATTTTAGACTCAATTAAAAGTTTAATGTCTTGGATTTTTTCTGGAATGACTTATCAAGAGAAGCAACATGAGGTGTTTTAAATGTGTGGAGTAAACACCAAAAAGGTAGACTTTTAGAATACAGATGATAGATGTCAGAAATGAGGTCAAAATGGGAAAGTTATTGACACAATATAACACTGTCATCATCCATTTCCTTAGATACCTGTTCCCTTGCAAAAAATGGATCACGATCTCCGACAGACTTTACTCCAAGAAATACAGGGAAGTTCTGGAGGCCAAATCTGTGGAACAATCACAGGTTTCTGTCGTAAGAAGTAAGTACAGATCAATGTTCATTGCAGTGACGAAACAGAGTTTGACAGTAGACAACTCCTTTTTCAGTCTGTTTACTGAAGTCTTATAGGAAAAAAGAAAATTATAGTCATTACATTTTAGTTATTGTATATACATATTCTTATAATTTGATAAACTACCCAGACACAGAGGTGATACAGGTCCATTATGACTGTTGTTTACTTAATTTTGTACTTTAGATATTTTGTACACACAGATGTTATTATTTGCTGTGATTCCACATACCACTTTGGTCACTATATGGAAATAAACAATTAAAAAATTCCTCTTCAGATCTGGCTCCGATCAAGTATGAGATAATCGTGTTCACGGGTGATGTATTTGGAGCAGGAACCAATGCCAACGTCTCCATCACAATTTTTGGTTCCAATGGTGACAGTGGTATGCGTACGCTTCAGCAGAGTTTCCGGGATCTGTTTGAACGGAACCAGGTCGATAAGTTCCAGATGGAAATATTGGATTTAGGTAAGACATCCATATACCTATATAAACTAATGTGGCAGACATACCTGTACTAAATAAATGTTGAAGTTTTGTAAGGATCATCGTGATACATGAGATAATGGGTTAAAAATTTCAAAGGCATCTTTACATAAAGATATTTGATAAATGTTTTGAATTACTCAAATTTAAAATTTCATTTATGTATTAAACTACACTGTATAAAGTGTTTTGAAGGCAAAATGAATGAACCCCAAATGTACATAGAAAAGTTAATAAACAGTTGTTCTCAGTAAACACTAACGTAATAAATAGTGTTCTATACATGTTAACGAAAAGACTCTTTTTATTTCTGATTGAACTTCTAGTTTATCTTTTTTCTTCCTTAGAACTTACACCAGTGTTGTAGTGGAAAGCATGTAGTGTAAATGGTTGTTTGTTTCAGGGGAGCTACACAAAATCCGGATCGAACATGACAATAGTGGGTTCCGTCCAGCATGGTTCCTCGACAGAATCGAGATTGTCAACATGGCAACAAATAACACTACTGTTTTCCCATGCAGCAACTGGCTGGACAAAAACAAGGGAGATAAATCTATCAGCCGTGATCTCCTGGCCAGGGATTAAGACTACAGGAGAGGCTATTTAGGATTTTAAAATTAAATTATCGTTCTTTTTTAAAATTAGTGCTAATATTCGTGAGACTTTGTGATATTTTAAAAATTTAGTTAAAAGTGTCAAAGCTTGATAAAGCAAGTACCAAAGACTTGTTATTGTTAACCCTTTCAACACTGTAGACCATAATGAACTCCTCCATATCAAAGCATGGTAGAGTCTACTTAAGTTACATTAGGGTGAAAGGGTTAACCTCAGAGAGAACTTAGTTCTTACTTCGTTTTATCACAAAGCTTATTGGCATGACCTACCTTTTAGGTTAGTGCATTTAGGTATTATACCTTAAATATTTATGAATATTTATAAGTATCTTGATATGTTGACGTTTTAAATTGAAACAAACATTCCTGTGAACTAATCAAAACTATACATTGAGCCTTATATTCAAAGCCTGGTTAGCTTTACGAGACAATATGTTAAGTTTTCAAATCAAATATTACTGAAAATTATAAACAAATTCTATAAAAAAAATTGCCTCTTGCCTTCAGGATGTAGACAATAAATCATTACACACACAAATTTCGTAACGAATGTTAATAATTTAACATGCTACGTGTCAGTTTTTTGTATTAATTATTGATAAAGCTAACCAGGATTGGAGTCTGGGCCTTGGAGGACTAGCAATCTAGTGGTTTGTATACCAATAAAAAGTAGATATCTTTTAATTGATCATGTTGTATTTTTATATACTTATAACTTAATTTATATATGAGTTGAACCATCTTACCTCACATTGAAGCTGTATCATATATACTGTATCATTGCTGGGAATACATTTATTCATGTAATTTTGTTTTTGTACTTGTGATGGTCGATAAAATCCAAAATGGCTGCCAATAATAGATCTTGGGATTTTTCTGCCCTTATAAAACATGTTTTTCTATAAATCATAAAGTTGTTTAAGATTTCATGTCATTTTTAACAAGCATTTCTGTGATTTTCATCCAATAAGCTTACTTGTTTAGTGATATTTAGTCATTAAATGAAACCAATATTCCTGCTTACTCAGTCTGTCACTGTTGCCTTTTCAACCATGTTTTGACTGAAAAAAAAGCCTAAACTTTCCAATTCCAACCAGAATACTGAATGCTATGAGGAACACAGAAATTAGGGTACAAAATTAAGGTATGATCTGATCTGCTTCTTATACCTGCTTCCAGTAGTGTTATTGTTGATGAACTATTTTGATTTTTGAAAAATTATCAATCTGGGGACATAAAATTCTTCTTCTGTGTTTATGAGTATGAGATCTAAAAAGATTCCAGGGGTTCTATCGGCCCTAGATTGGAAAACTACTATGATATGCCTCAGGGAGTTTACTCTGCTGCCTTATCCAACGTTCCACTTATAACTGTGATTGTCTCCCCTTGTACCAGGACATGAACCTACCGATGACCTTCACCAGCGATATAGAGGTTGCCTCTTGTGTTTTTTTTATACATATATTTAACATTCCGTCCTAGGTAGAATAGTTCTGTTAAGTAGTATCATTTGTCTCATTTTTCCAATGATCTGTATTTAATTTTCTTTTTTTCATAGTGATAGTCAAGGGGGAGTTCTGAAAATTAATATATTTTTATGAATAAGTCTTGGTATATATCCGTTGTACAATCAACAAGCCTTTTATGACCCAGTGAAGTATTGTATCTGTACAGTGTATAGAGGAAATGTTTAACGACTCTTTAAAAGGATTCTTTTCTTCCTTCGAACAGGTTTTCCTAAATCTCGTCATTATTGTTTTTGTTTTGTAATTTAGAGGTTATAGACATTTTATCAGTGTGTAAATAGCACTGCTCTATGAACTGGTGACATGATTGTATTTGTTGACATTTGTAGCTAGTAAGTGTCTCATCATTTCAGACACGACTCTTTCATTAGAATATCAACATTTGGGTTTTGGGTAAATTCACTTGTAAATAAAATGTACATTTTCCTATCTTTACTTTAGTATATCATGCTTTATGATTTGTTTTTGCCAATAGAATATAATGTATCAATTATTTTTGTTTAAAAAGGTAAAGTTATTTATAGACGTTTGTATATATATATATGTATTTGTTTATCACATTACTAGAGATGATGGTTATTACATACATACAACTTTACATTTACTAGTCCTGTATATTAATGTCTGATTTGTTTACAAGCAATATATAACACCTCACCTTGCTCTCCCTAGTACATTTATAATACCGTAAACATACTTACATGACCTAATACAAGCGCTATGGTGATATGACCGATGTAAATATAGTACGATGTATCAATAGGTAATGTAGTACATTGAATTAATAACTACCTTAGGTACATGTATTGTCCTACCCACACATTCCTGTACCCACAGCTGTTAATGTGTTTTATATCATTTGACATTTGATTCTCTTTTTCAAATTGTATGACATTTTTATACCAATTCATTCTATTATAGAATCCATCTCAAATCACATTCTACCTGTATGTAAAACTGACATAAATGTACAATCTATCAAATTTATATCTTAACTTACATAGATTAACATTTGTGTCACATTCATATCTTTAACTTTAATGAATAAGTAATATACATTTTTATCAGATTTATTTCTTTATCTTACATAAGTACAAAAATATTTTTATCCATAAAGCTTTGAATGTTTGTCTATTCCTCATTTTTCGGGAAATGATTGCCTTAAGTGTGTATCAGCAATCCAGTAATCTGGTTATACACAGGTATACCTATAGCATATACACATAAATATACATAGGTATACCTATAGCATATACACATAAATATACACAGGTATACCTATAGCATATACACATAAATATACACAGGTATACCTATAGCATATACACATAAATATACACAGGTATACCTATAGCATATACACATAAATATACACAGGTATACCTATAGCATATACACATAAATATACACAGGTATACCTATAGCATATACACATAAATATACACAGGTATACCTATAGCATATACACATAAATATACACAGGTATACCTATAGCATATACACATAAATATACACAGGTATACCTATAGCATATACACATAAATATACACAGGTATACCTATAGCATATACACATAAATATACACAGGTATACCTATAGCATATACACATAAATATACACAGGTATACCTATAGCATATACACATAAATATACACAGGTATACCTATAGCATATACACATAAATATACACAGGTATACCTATAGCATATACACATAAATATACACAGGTATACCTATAGCATATACACATAAATATACACAGGTATACCTATAGCATATACACATAAATATACACAGGTATACCTATAGCATATACACATAAATATACACAGGTATACCTATAGCATATACACATAAATATACACAGGTATACCTATAGCATATACACATAAATATACACAGGTATACCTATAGCATATACACATAAATATACACAGGTATACCTATAGCATATACACATAAATATACACAGGTATACCTATAGCATATACACATAAATATACACAGGTATACCTATAGCATATACACATAAATATACACAGGTATACCTATAGCATATACACATAAATATACACAGGTATACCTATAGCATATACACATAAATATACACAGGTATACCTATAGCATATACACATAAATATACACAGGTATACCTATAGCATATACACATAAATATACACAGGTATACCTATAGCATATACACATAAATATACACAGGTATACCTATAGCATATACACATAAATATACACAGGTATACCTATAGCATATACACATAAATATACACAGGTATACCTATAGCATATACACATAAATATACACAGGTATACCTATAGCATATACACATAAATATACACAGGTATACCTATAGCATATACACATAAATATACACAGGTATACCTATAGCATATACACATAAATATACACAGGTATACCTATAGCATATACACATAAATATACACAGGTATACCTATAGCATATACACATAAATATACACAGGTATACCTATAGCATATACACATAAATATACACAGGTATACCTATAGCATATACACATAAATATACACAGGTATACCTATAGCATATACACATAAATATACACAGGTATACCTATAGCATATACACATAAATATACACAGGTATACCTATAGCATATACACATAAATATACACAGGTATACCTATAGCATATACACATAAATATACACAGGTATACCTATAGCATATACACATAAATATACACAGGTATACCTATAGCATATACACATAAATATACACAGGTATACCTATAGCATATACACATAAATATACACAGGTATACCTATAGCATATACACATAAATATACACAGGTATACCTATAGCATATACACATAAATATACACAGGTATACCTATAGCATATACACATAAATATACACAGGTATACCTATAGCATATACACATAAATATACACAGGTATACCTATAGCATATACACATAAATATACACAGGTATACCTATAGCATATACACATAAATATACACAGGTATACCTATAGCATATACACATAAATATACACAGGTATACCTATAGCATATACACATAAATATACACAGGTATACCTATAGCATATACACATAAATATACACAGGTATACCTATAGCATATACACATAAATATACACAGGTATACCTATAGCATATACACATAAATATACACAGGTATACCTATAGCATATACACATAAATATACACAGGTATACCTATAGCATATACACATAAATATACACAGGTATACCTATAGCATATACACATAAATATACACAGGTATACCTATAGCATATACACATAAATATACACAGGTATACCTATAGCATATACACATAAATATACACAGGTATACCTATAGCATATACACATAAATATACACAGGTATACCTATAGCATATACACATAAATATACACAGGTATACCTATAGCATATACACATAAATATACACAGGTATACCTATAGCATATACATAGGTATACCTATAGCATATACATAGGTATACCTATAGCATATACACATAAATATACTTAGGTATACCTATGCATGTTAAAAATCACCTTTTCTTTACCAGCTAATACTATTTAAGGGCATTATCATAACCAGTGATTATAAAACTGATGGAAACTCCATGTTTTATGGAATCATATATAAAAAATATATTTATGTGGTACATATATTGTACAAAAAAATAAAAACCTTCGCCACAAGAAAAAAAAATCAAACCATCCTACATTTTTCTTGCATATTCTTTTAAGATTAAATTTGCATTTAAATCTACCAAACGCTCAATTTTATTTACATGTGCCAACAGCCTTTCAACGAGATGCTTAAACAAAGTGGTGTTTAGCTGTGTAGCTGTGTCAATGTCAAAATAGATTATTAAGTTAATTGAATTGTACTAAAACATATGATAGCTGTATTGTCATTCAATACTAGATATCAAGATTAGCTGTACTAACACACCCAGTACCAGTTATAAAGGTTAGCTGTACTAACACACCCAGTACCAGTTATAGAGGTTAACTCTACTGATACACTCAGTACCAGTTATAAAGGTAAGCTGGACTGACACTACCTGTACCAGTTATAAAGGTTAGCTGTACTGACACTACCTGTACCAGTTATTAAGGTTAACTGTACTGACACACCCAGTACCAGTTATAAAGGTTAGCTGTACTGACACACCCAGTACCAGTTATAAAGGTTAGCTGTACTGACACACCCAGTACCAGTTATAAAGGTTAGCTGTACTGACACACCCAGTACCAGTTATAAAGGTTAGCTGTACTGACACACCCAGTACCAGTTATAAAGGTTAGCTGTACTGACACACCCAGTACCAGTTATAAAGGTTAGCTGTACTGACACACCCAGTACCAGTTATAAAGGTTAGCTGTACTGACACACCCAGTACCAGTTATAAAGGTTAGCTGTACTGACACACCCAGTACCAGTTATAAAGGTTAGCTGTACTGACACACCCAGTACCAGTTATAAAGGTTAGCTGTACTGACACACCCAGTACCAGTTATAAAGGTTAGCTGTACTGACACACCCAGTACCAGTTATAAAGGTTAGCTGTACTGACACACCCAGTACCAGTTATAAAGGTTAGCTGTACTGACACACCCAGTACCAGTTATAAAGGTTAGCTGTACTGACACACCCAGTACCAGTTATAAAGGTTAGCTGTACTGACACACCCAGTACCAGTTATAAAGGTTAGCTGTACTGACACACCCAGTACCAGTTATAAAGGTTAGCTGTACTGACACACCCAGTACCAGTTATAAAGGTTAGCTGTACTGACACACCCAGTACCAGTTATAAAGGTTAGCTGTACTGACACACCCAGTACCAGTTATAAAGGTTAGCTGTACTGACACACCCAGTACCAGTTATAAAGGTTAGCTGTACTGACACACCCAGTACCAGTTATAAAGGTTAGCTGTACTGACACACCCAGTACCAGTTATAAAGGTTAGCTGTACTGACACACCCAGTACCAGTTATAAAGGTTAGCTGTACTGACACACCCAGTACCAGTTATAAAGGTTAGCTGTACTGACACACCCAGTACCAGTTATAAAGGTTAGCTGTACTGACACACCCAGTACCAGTTATAAAGGTTAGCTGTACTGACACACCCAGTACCAGTTATAAAGGTTAGCTGTACTGACACACCCAGTACCAGTTATAAAGGTTAGCTGTACTGACACACCCAGTACCAGTTATAAAGGTTAGCTGTACTGACACACCCAGTACCAGTTATAAAGGTTAGCTGTACTGACACACCCAGTACCAGTTATAAAGGTTAGCTGTACTGACACACCCAGTACCAGTTATAAAGGTTAGCTGTACTGACACACCCAGTACCAGTTATAAAGGTTAGCTGTACTGACACACCCAGTACCAGTTATAAAGGTTAGCTGTACTGACACACCCAGTGCCAGTTATAAAGGTCAGCTGTACTGACACACCCAGTACCAGGTATAAAGGTTAGCTCTACTAACAAACCCAGTACCAGTTATAAAGGTTAGCTGTACTGACACACCCAGTACCAGTTATAAAGGTTAGCTGTTCTGACACACCCAGTGCCAGTTATAAAGGTTAGCTGTACTGACACACCCAGTGCCAGTTATAAAGGTTAGCTCTACTAACAAACCCAGTACCAGTTATAAAGGTTAGCTGTACTGACACACCCAGTGCCAGTTATAAAGAAATCGTTGATATTTAAGTTAGCTTTACAATCTGTGCCATGTATATTTCCATATTTACATGTATTTGTATTCAATATTTCCATTAAGCATCTTTTTATAATATAATGTATACTTTCGTAATTAAAGTTTTTATTCAACTTCAATGATCTTAGAATTCACGTAATCTTTTAAAAAAATTGTACTATTTCAATTAATTCGTGAACGATATTTTTATTATTAATTGATCAGTAATATTTAATCCAATGATGACGAGGTATTGTGCTGTTCAAAATTGAAAACATGCTACTCTTATAAGGCTTGTTATTAAAAGTTCAATGTAGCAATGCCAAATTAGAACTCTGTGATGTGATGTCAGCTATACTTATTATAGACAATATTACTGTACTATAAATCTAGATATCATTAAGTATATATCTGTACTAAAGTTGTATTATAATTCATGTTAACGTCTAACAATACTATAACAGGGACCATCATTACACAATTATACTCGTACTTACATGTTGTAGATAAGGCTCGGTGTAGTTTGGAGATGTACATATTTTACGCATTATTTTGAGACTATGTTGTGGTATGTCCATTGCAGTGTTATTACCTTGTGAACATGACGTCATGTTAAAAACTGCTGTTTAATAAAAACCAATCTAGTTAGAATACTCAACACAAAGTACTGGTTGTCACTCATGTTTGGTTTATTTCTAACTCTACCAAAAAAGGACAATTTAATGCCCTAATGATATTTGGGATATTGTTATAGCCCCTTTTGGGGTTATAATTGTTTTACAATGAATTTGAGGGACATTATAGTTCCTACAAGGAAGTTTGGGGCAATTTTAACTAAAGTTGATATAAATCCCTAAAATGTGTAAAATTACTCTGAATACATTAGTTTAGGTCCAAACACAGATGTAACAAATTCTCAGGTCCTTGTTAACAAATTCAAGGTTCTTGTAAACAAATTCAAGGTTCTTGTTAACAAATTCTCAGGGCCTTGTTAACAAATTATCAGGTCCCTGTTAACAAATTCTCAGGTCCCTGTTAACAAATTCTCAGGTCCTTGTTAACAAATTCAAGGTTCTTGTTAACAAATTATCAGGTCCTTGTTAACAAATTCTCAGGTCCCTGTTAACAAATTCTTAGGGCCTTGTTAACAAATTCTCAGGTCCCTGTTAACAAATTCTCAGGTCCCTGTTAACAAAATATCAGGTCCTTGTTAACAAATTATCAGGTCCTTGTTAACAAATTCTCAGGTCCTTGGGCAACAGTGTGGAAATGAGTCATCCTCACGTCCAGTCTACAGGACTGTTATTCCAATAAAATGGAGGAATACTGCGAGATATTAAAACAAATCTGGATGTCCACACTATTGCCGGCATAATGGTGAAGTGAATTGGCTTACGAACTAGGGAAGCGAGAATGATGACTAAGTTGGGCAAAGGTGATATGATACCTCTGTCACAGTGAGTTCTGGTCGTATTGGTGTTCAAATTATAGTACAGCGTCGTTTGAAGAATGCATTGTCGATCTTGATCTCATTCGCTAGCTTCGGGTCTTTCTGCATCCTGCAATAAAGTTCCTGAAATTCGAAGGGTGTTTAGTAATACCGGACAGTTTACCTGGTACGATGACGCAAGTACCAAACGAACAGCAATCAATATATATTTTAAAACTCCTTTCAGATTAGAATCCTGAACTAGAATCAACGACTGTAGTATTACACGGAATTCGATAGCTATCCAAGTCCGTGATACTGCAATAAAATGTAACAATCCTTATGTAATGTTGAACTGGTAGCGATGATACACTGTCGGCTCCTAAGGCCAAGTACAAGCTATATTAGTGAATGTCTATATACCAAATTCGGAATGTTAGAAAAGGAGACATTGGCTAGTACGCGAGTTTCTCCCGTGTTGCTCAAATGAAACAAACAATTTACCGACTGTAAAATGTAATTTCGGCAAAGTTGTCATTGGAGACTGTTAGAATACAAGATATAAATCATGATTATCTTGGAATCATGTTGATTTGTTATATATTGACTACCAAGAATGGCGAGTACACAACGCCACAGAACGGACCCAAGTCAGTATTACAAGGTTAACGTTTATTAAGTCAGTATTACAAGGTTAACGTTTATTAAGCACAGACTTTTGACATTGGATAATTTCCGGACAGGAGTCATACATGGACACGGTCTATCACAAACATGGTCCAACATTTATCAATGTAATAACAAACGCAAGAAAATCAAGTTAAGTGCTGAATTTATTACTTGATATTATCATTAATATTATATTTTGCATATGATGGCCATGGCTTCGCCCACATAACAGCTAGAATTAAATGGAAACTGGGAACAGAACATTCATTTAATAAAAGCGGTTAAGTATTAAATATGAAAATGTCATTTTAAATTCCAAAAATAAGAACATTCTGTTTCCCTAAGTGAAACTGCCAAATGACAACATGAAAAAGAAAGACCAGCATGTTGTCAGATATCAATATTGAGATGTTAATTCATTTTCGACTTCACGATCCTCAGTGGTGCTCGTAGATAAAAAAAAAAAAAAAAAAAAAAAAAAAAAAAAAAAAAGGGTAATATATAGAAACTTCGTTCTGATCAAATAATTCAAAACCTTTTCCTGAACATATCTTGTACATGGCCTAGCAGGTTTTACGAATCTTTATAGATGGACCACTGAGGTCAACTTTTATTATCTATGGCTTATCTCTTTTTACTTCTTTTAAACAAAAAATTATCACGAGAAAAATATCTTTGATAGTTAATTTGAAGAGGAAAATGACAGAATGGAATCTTTGTGCTTACCAACGAAACAAGTCCAAAAGAAACAAAAGATACGGATGTACGGAAAAAACATGTTTTTGAAAAATATATCCTTTCAAGTTTTAATATCGACAAATTTAAACATCAAATAAACGATATACGAATATTATTCCACACTGCACATTAATTTGAAATTGTTAGACAAACAAACGTGACACCAGTGACGCCTTGTCTGGTCATCCGATAACAAACGTGATGCCTAGTCTGATCATCCGATAACAAACGTGACACCAGTGATGCCTAGTCACGTCATCCGATAACAAACATGACACCAGTGATGCCTAGTCTCGTCATCCGATAACAAACGTGACACCAGTGACGCCTAGTCTGGTCATCCGATAACAAACATGACACCAGTGATGCCTAGTCTCGTCATCCGATAACAAACGGGACTCCAGCGACGCCTAGTCTCGTCATCCGATAACAAACGGGACACCAGCGACGCCTAGTCTGGTCATCCGATAACAAACATGACACCAGTGATGGCTAGTCTCGTCATCCGATAACAAACGTGACTCCAGTGACGCCTAGTCTCGTCATCCGATAAAAAACGTGACACCAGTGACGCCTAGTCTCGTCATCCGATAACAAAGTGTTGTACGTCGTGTTAGGTTACAAACATGTTTACCACTATCAAGTAACAACTAGTTTCATAAACAACAAATGAAATGAACATGAACTGCAGACAAGTTGAATAATGTCACACGACACGATCCTTGTCGCGACTACAACAGGCGATTACTTATAATTACATTACGAGTACCTGCTGAAACACATATAAACAAGCGATAACGATTACGCTAGATTGTTGGTTGGATTTCTTAACATCATTGTCAAAAGGGGTTATTTTTCTGTTGCAATGTCCTTTTCCGGATTACGTTTAGGAAGACACTTTCAAGCATCACCGTTTCTGTTAAGACGTCAAAATCAACATGCAGACGTCACAACTCAAGGTGTTATAACACACGTCAGGACGTCATAACTTATATCAAGGTGTTACAACGCACGTCAGGACGTCATAACTTATATCAAGGTGTTACAACGCACGTCAAGACGTCACAACGTATACCAAGACGTCACAATTTAGGTCAAGGTGTTACAACGCACGTCAAGACGTCATAACTTATATCAAGGTGTTACAACGCACGTCAAGACGTCACAACTTATACCAAGACGTCACAATTTAGGTCAAGGTGTTACAACGCACGTCAAGACGTCATAACTTATATCAAGGTGTTACAACGCACGTCAAGACGTCACAACTTATACCAAGACGTCACAATTTAGGTCAAGGTGTTACAACGCACGTCAAGACGTCATAACTTATATCAAGGTGTTACAACGCACGTCAAGACATTACAACTTATATCAAGACGTCATAATTTAACCTCGCTTGTAACAAACCTTTTCATTGGCCTAAAAAAATATGTTATCAGCCCATAACATAAAAAATAACGTCACCGCTGTAATCATTTCTAAGAGAAAATAGTCCATCAATAAAAGTTGATTTCCACAGGGATCGTGTATAGTAGATTAGATTATAAGGAATAACTTGAATATATTTTTTATATTATGGAGCTATAACACCAAAAAACGGAGTGTACTCTCATCATAAACCGCTTCGCGGTTTATTTAGAGTACACTCCGGGTTTTTTAATTCAAGTTAATCCCTAAATAACTTATATCAAGGTGTTAATTACAACGCATGTCAAGACGTCACAACTAATGTCAAGACGTCATAACTAACGTCAAAACTAATGTCAAGACGTCACAACTAATGTCAAGACGTCACAACTAACGTCAAGACGTCACAACGTATGTCAGGACGTCACAACGTATGTCAAGCATTTTTTTCAATCAGAACGTGAAGATTGTCTAAGGATCATTGTTTTTTAAAATCCCGTAGCCTGAACACGTTTTCCGTGAGTAATTGTTCCATCTACAATCCTCAACTACAGTTAACAGGGTTTATAAAGAATCCATTCTTAAAATGTCAAACAAACGTATTGAATGTACCGTATAAAGGACGTGTCAACGTTTGTACCTAAATTTGGAGCTATCCGGATAGCAGGCGGTTTCGGTACAACCCAAAAGCGCCATTTTGCTCAACATATCCAGTCGGTATATTACATCCGAGATGATCCGAACGTCAATCCGGAAAAATCCCGTGAATGGTGAGTCAAGATCGGCGACGATGTAGCACAGCATGACAATGGAGAAAAGCGTGAGCATGCTCATCACCAGCTCCATCCGGTACGAGTACGCCTGGATCATGAGCACTCCGAACAGGGAGAAGAATCCGAGCGTGACCAAGAACGCCCATCTACAGAAAATGGAATACAATTATTACATGGCAATCATATTTTGGTATACCGTTACTGTTAAACGTCGTGACAAACTGGAAAACTTATTTCCCGAAGACATCTGTAAAAGAAGTGCATTGATTTGGTTGCCTTACAAACGTCAGCTATAGGCAATTTCCATTTAGCTCAGCGATAGAGCATCGGGCTGGAGAGCTAGAAACTGTGAGATGTCATTCGGCCTCTTCAAATACGACTGCCCCTTCATATTTTAATTCAACCACTCGGGAACAAGTCCTTCTTTAACCTCTCAACTCGAACAATGGACCTAGGTAATGGAAGGCGCTAACACCGTTTCTGTCACGAATCTTAATCAACATCACATGGAGACACTTGCTTTCGAAGTGGTTTTTGAGAAGAAGTGGTTCTAAGAAAAAGTACGGCAATGTATTGAAATTTGAAATTGCTTATTTGGTTCACAGGTACTAGCCTCGTCTGCCAATACACCAAGACGAGGCTAGTACCTGTGCCTGGCTCTTTTGGCCAGGAGAGTACAGTAATCAGCAGTTAAGAATGGTTCTCATTAGTGCCACCTTGATTTGTACAGTACCATAACATACACCGGCCGGGAAATTAAAAACAATAAACTTGGATGTGTCCTCTTTACCATAATGAAGTTTGGACCTTTCAAAATACACGACACAGAGTATAACGCGCAGCTATACACATGTATGTTCAGTCACTAGATGGATCATCAAACGTTTCCAAAGTGATCACACGAATTATTAGCATTTCGGCAGTCCATTTGCATTTTAAATATACATTGCTATATTCCCCACCTGTAGATGTCACGCGACATGTGATGTACGTCGTGAAACCTGCAGAGTTGATTGTCTGGCACCAGGTGATGCTGTTACAACAGAACACTAGCTATGTCGTGAACAGGCGACACAGGGAATACAGATCAGCAACACGGCATGCCACAAAGCCAAACGTCACTGGTATTGGGCGTGCACAACAATATAGCACCACAAAGATACTAGGCCTACATAACGGTGAAGTCCAATGTCTGTTATTAGGCCTTCAAACGAATGTGAAGATAAACGAAGCTCATTGTCCGATTGAAATATAAAGCTTTAATGCGTTATTTCATGGCCATAATTCATTGTCTGTCCACAGAGTTACCCCGATAGGATCTACATTATACGACAACCGAATTGTTGTATGTGTTTTTGTAGAATCTTCTAAAATTAAGCTTTATCTATTTAACAATATTATAATAAAACAAATTTCAGCAGTTTATGTTAATCACACCTGATGGGAGTCGTCCTCTTCCCGATGAGCAGTTCTCCAGTGATCTGTATACGGTTGTACACCCTTAACCGAACGAAGAAAAAAATGGTGTGAATCAGACCATATATCAATTTTTTAACTGTTATCTTAGAACCTTCGTATTTTTGTATAGTTACGTCGTTCTCCGGTCAGTGGTGGCATGGTGGCAAATGTGTGTGGCCCATGAGTACCCCATGTGTCTATTTTCTGCGTTCAGGTATTTGCTGTAATATTGATCTAGATTAGAGTTGACTTCTTTCAAATCCCCCACCTTTATCAGTACGGATAGGCTTTGAGGAGGAGGATCTACTGCGGTTCCCGGGAACCACGGTACCTGATGCTGCTGTTTATAAGCAGAAACAGTGACGACTCTGTCGACCTATTCGTTCCTCATGATCAGTAGCAGCAGGTTACCCTCTCTTCCTCTTTCCGTCCAGGAAACAATCTAGCATGGGCTTCGCCGAAAAGGATAAGGAATATAGAGCAAGGGATGTAAACTCTCATCTGAATCAACATAGCTTCAAACATATGTACGCAGAAAACGAAACTAAAGCGGTAGTAGCTAAGTGATATCAAAATAATGATGAAACAGATTAATACAAACTTCAAAGAAGAAACTATGAATATATCGTGTAACAGTAGAGTACCTACCACAGAACAATCGGTAGGATTTCATCAAAGATCACCAAGGGCAACGAAACGTTCATCTGACAGAGAATCCACTTACAGAAGAACGACGTTATTATATTTTGAGATTGAGAAACCGTAAAATTAAATTCAAAACATAAAAACCATTGTTGCGTTAAATGTCTTCATTGATAGGAATACATCAACCTCTAGATATCCATGAGATGTTACCGATTTGTATAACTGGAGGGCGATATACTCTAAAAGGGTCAAACTTCAAGACCCTGCTGTTGCCTTAAAAATGTGTACAACAGTAGACAAATTGTTCAAGCACTGTTGATAGAGTAGAAGATAACTCGGTGAGGAGATACATTGATATTTTCCAATTTGGAGTAGGCTGTATGTATGATTAGGTCTCTGACCCGCGTGAGAACGTTCTTTAAATATGCAACCTAAATATTGATCAATTATGGACGCTTCCCGGTTTAGGGTGGAACTTCTGATTTGAACATAATGGACGTGAGCTTTATGTAGACGAGGGATTGTATGAACGCACTTACTTGCCCTTCCTCTTTTATGGTTTATTTCAGATGGATTTTTTTTTATCCCGGGAACAAATGACAAAAACTATCACACATACTTCAGCCTTGAAAAACCTTCAATACAACGACCTTGNCCCACCCCCCCCGCAGTAATTCACAGCTACAAAATTACGACTTCTGACGGCGAAGCATCGATAGTATTGATTTAACTGTTCTACATGTGAACGTCTAATTAAATGCCCAAACAATGCAAAGGTGTGTCAAGGTAATGCATGTGGTAGTAATGAGGAAACGGTTTGTTAAAATATAAAATATGAACTTTATTTATTTTACAATAATTATGAAACAACTTATTTTAACTAATGTCAATCACTCTTGTTGGCCTGGATGTTTGCGCACGCGGGGATCTTAATGTGGAAGGAGACCGGAGTACCCGGAGAAATCCACGTGGTCGGGCAGGCCAAAACCTTTTCGGTAGGCAAGTGCGTTATCCACTGCGCCACCCTACCGTTTTCTAGAAGACTTCATCCCAGGATGTAGAATCGCAAGATTTTAATAGGCTGAATACCGTAGCTCTACAATATCAGAAAACTATATTTCTCCCACAATCACTATAGGTTTCCTCACTCCCGATTCATTGGATAAACCTGCTAGGAGTAGTGGGTAACACCCTGGACGTGATTTCATTGGTCATTTTTTTTACTTATGACATCACGTAACAATGCTTTGCGACGTCATCTTCCATTGTGACGTCATGATTCACGGCAATTGTTTCCCCCATCGGAAGCCTAAGTAGCGATTTTCAAGGGAAACATGTGGCTTTCCAGATAAAATATGAACGTTATGGGAGAAAAAGGGTCCCAAACTCGTGATGATAGGTATCATGTTTATCTAACTCTCGCTAGTTAATTTCAAAATTGTAAAAGACACTCGGTAAACCTAGTGTCTTTATACAATTTGAAAATGTATATAACTCGAGTTAGATAAACATGATAACCAACCATCACGAGTCTGGGAACCTCTATTTATCGGACAATGAGCCTTCGATATTTTGGCATATGTACGACAGTAAAGTCAAACGTCAAACAGATTACTCTAGTGAATTCATGTCTTAAACAGATTTTTAACTTCATACAAAGAACGAAAATATTCTAGATTTAGTTCATATTTGAGGGTTGCAAGGTCAAGCTAAAGTCAGTGTCGCTATTTACAGAAAATCATCAGAAGCCTCAGCGTCATTGCGCTAGAGGGTACATTTATTTGTTGTATCAAATGTTTTATACAAGAAAGGTAAACATGATAATTCCTTGAGTAATTTGGAGTCCCATTGTCCCTTCGATTGTGATTTCTGTTACTGCCGTGCAAAAAATGGAAAATGGCTACAAATACATGGCATATAGATTCTAATACAGATTAGAATAGTTTGCAAATAAAAAGGAAACAAAATAAGATGAATAGAAAGAAGATAATTACTTGAGCCAATGTATCTTTGAGTGGAGAATGCCGAGCTGGTCGGAACAGACACTGTTGAGGGCCGTGATATAATCCATGATACGTTGACTCATCACTACATCCACATAGTGATGAGGGGTACTCGTCAACAGGTGGAGGTGGTCAATGATGCTCCAAATCTTAACTGAAATCAGACGGAAGGATGATTGATTAGTTCGGAAAATGTTATGCCGGGATTCTTTTAATGCAATTACACCTATGTCAACTTATTTCTATGGAAACGCATGTAAGGGTTTACCTTTGATATCCTCCAGGGGGCGGTGTCTGTATTTCGCAATGTCGCCCTTCTGTACCTGGAGGATCATGTAGAGCGCTTCAGCCTTCAGAGCTCGATACATATCTACCTTGATAGCTGGCGACCGTAGTTTGAGCTTACTAGTCAATGTGGCCGCCTGGTCAAGGAAACTTATCTCTGTCGTCATTTTTTCTAATATATCACACTGCTTATTAATTGCCTGCTGGAAGGCAAACCCAAACGAGATGGCGTACACCAATCCGGCTGGAGTGAGGAAGCAAGCGACGCACTGGTTTATGTTTGGCAGGACTGGGTAGTCATCAAATGACCAGAAAAAGTCGATAATATTATAATAGCCTAACATAAATACTGGACCTATTGCCATGGTACAGAACGCCGGGAAACAAATCCGGATAATCTCGACCGGTTGGACATGGATCGTCCGGAGATTGTCAAGCACCTCCTTGTCAAAGTCTTCTAGAAAATTCCGCACAGAGTTTTTGTCTGTGATTGGAACATCGTCAAAAGCTATCCTGGTGGTCTGGTTGATGACCGAGAAACCAGCGTCTGTGACCACCGCCATCTCCCAGCGTTCCGCGTTCACTCGTGATTTCCGGCGATTTCCGGTGCTTGCATGACTCGCAGAACCAATAAGTGTTAATGTTAGGCCTGAAAAACATGACGTACAAAGAATATACAGAATAAACTATGAACATGTAAAATACACAATAATATAAAATTAACAAAGTGTTGCGAGCAAGTTCCCACCTTCGAAGAAACGTCTGAAACAAAACATGAACAAAGGGCCATAACTCTGTATATATTTATAAAGTGGTGCACCAAGGAACATGGAAATTGATCAAGGGATATAATCATGTATATAGTGTTGTAGTAAACCTGATTTTAGTGCACGACACGTCCCAAACGGTAAGTGGCACAGTATTTATAAACTACAGAAACAAGGCGCGTACATTAATATTACTATACATACAAGAGTTTATATACACACGAAGTATAGACAATTACAATGACGATTGTTTTATTCTCATAAACAATAGAGTGTAGAGAATACAGAGATTAATACCATAATCACAATGTACAAAAATACTACATGTATATACAACAGATTACTACTAAAGCAAACACCCGCACACACCCTCACACACTATGATGTTATACACACACATGTACTTATAGTAATTCTTTAGACACGAGATACCTAAACTGATTCAGTTCTTTATTACCTTGAACCTTACGGCTCATCAGTTCAAAATAAACATATATACAAGGATAAACAATACAATCACTCACACTCATATACACCCCCACAAATACACCCACACACACAAATACACACTCACATACCCATTGGTATAGTGTAGAGAGACATCCCTCTTTATATAGGTACATAGTCTTTTCTTTTCTTATTACTCAGTTTAATATATTTGGCTAAATTTGTTAACTGATTTTTGTTCCCTGTTTTCATAAGTTGGATAAATGTATACATGCTAGGTCTTTCATAGTAATATTTCTTAATAAAACGCTTTTTTAAATCTAAAAAACATTCACATTTTAATATAAAATGAAATTCATCTTCAATATCCCCACTGTTACAGTATGCACATGTTCTTTCAATCCTATCTACATTGTTATACCTACCAATTTCAATATTTAATTTGTGAGATGACAGTCTAATTTTTGTAATTTCTTTCAGATTTTTATTTCCTATGGGTTTTGTTAAATATGGTTGTAAACAGAAATTTTCGCCAATAAACTTGTACAGTGAACACTTAAAAGATGAATCTATTTTTTCTTTACATTCTTGATAAACACATCAAGAGTATGTAAAATATATAAGTTTAAAACGTGTATGTACTACATACAATGTACGTATACTGTGAAAACAAAATACATTCAAAGACATACAAACACAAAACCGTAAATAGATATTGTAATGTCATTGGGGGAAAATACAATATGGTATATTTTCACAAAATGATATAACAAAGATACGTAGAGTTACTTGCATTGAGAGTAAGCAAACGACAAAATTTATTTGTGCAATCATATTAAAATAATACGGTTATATAGAAATACATGAATCAATTTAATCAAAATACAATCAGTAACATTGCTGTCATACAAAAGACATATAAGTTATATTGTTTACAAACAAATTACATACAGTTACATTTAACACACACAAGTTGCCCTATTGGCTCTATAGTTAAGCACGGCAACCGTTCATCACAAGTAGATATCAAACAACTTACACAAGATGGAGGCAGCAAGGACGGAGTAACAGGGTACGAAAATCTCCAGAATGGACGGCACATGCCGCTGGTTAACAGTGGTGGCGTTAGTGTCCGAGGCGGTCAAGGGGTGGACAGTGGTCAGCAATATCTCTACCAGAACGGACATAGCTCCAGTGGTCATCCCTCCGATATATGTCCGACACATTCTTAATATCCTAGAAAGGCTTGTCAGAAAATTCGGTCACATTCTCACACGTACTAAAGTACATACATTTCCTGACATGATTGCATTGAAAATGCGTCTGTTTTATAAAGTTTTGATAAATCAACCTTTAGATTGAGTTGACCTGATAGAAAATCAAATAGATTCATTCGACCATCTTTTGTTCTCTGTCACACCGCGGTCCCATTGGAAACCATCCTAACGTTTACTAGATCCTGTAAAAGCAGTCTACCATCCGATTACTTCGACAAGAAACGATCAGTGTTGGTTCCATGTAGAAATCAATTATACTATGGAAATATTACACAAAACCTTACTTCAGTTATTGACACACAATGTTTCCTGTTAAGAAACGTAGGCGAAACGGAAAGTCCTTCTGCACAATCACGACGATGTTGGTCCGTTGTCCCCACACGTCGTCCATGAGGAAAGTTATTATTCCAGGCTGAGTACGGTGTTTAAGGCTGGGATGTCGATTTGAAGGTGTGTTGTGATCTGCAATATACTACCTGGCGAGGTTGTGACGTGTTGATGATTTGCTACACCAGATGACTAAGGCTGATAAAAGAGTTGTTCACCTGTGAATTCCATACCCAAGTATCACTATAATGATTCTACAATTGTCCATCGAATCTAGTTAAACACCATTGGTTATTTAATTTGTCTTAACGAACGTGTTGATATCGAAAAATAACGATAAATCAATAGTTCGCATCTACTCATAATTTCTGAAGCAAGCCTTGACGTTTCCTTCGCGGGTGCCTTGCATGGTCGTCAAGTCTACCAATCAGACTAGCTAGTGTTCCGCGACAATAGTCTGCACGCGTAGACAGACCAAAAACTAGCAATCGTTATGAGTAATCGATGCTACAATTATGTATGACGGTGAGACCATTGGTCACTCTAATGAGTACATACTTTACCAAGTTAACTGGTCAGTCAGGTGATCTGGAACCGCGGTACAAAAAAAAACTAACCAGGCCAGTTTTATCGTTACACAGATGATGGTCGGCGTTTACCTGGAAGTAATGCTAATCAATAAACATCGAAAAGTATGAAATGTTATCCAGGCATGCGATTTATATTTTATATTCTATTAGGATTGTTGATATTTTCTATCTAACAATAAATAACAATAATGTGTAAACAATATCAAGAACAAATTCAGATTTTTTTCCGGACAAATGTTCCGGAGAAATTTATAGAACAAATATGGATGTACGACTATCGCAAATCAATACTAACTCTGGGCAGAACACCGGGTTGTATGACGTCGATATCCTTATATGTCACAAATATAAAAAAAAAATCCAAGTATTTGTCCTGCTTATAAAATACATATTATTAACATATATTATAAGAGTATTGGCATTTTGAAGTGAATAGAAAAGGCATAATGAATACGTGCTAGTTTTTGAAAATTTAAAGAAAGGGAAAAACATGCTTTATTTAATGAATATTGTTTATTTTGAAAAAAATACACAGTTGAGTTATTTTCAGTACATGACTAAAGAAAATCTCGTACAATTAAAAGAAAGGAAATTTCCGAGTAAGTCAAAACTGCCGCCAGACAAATAATGTCCAGATGCATTTTATAGAAATAACTTCTAAACATCATCTTCTGTGGCAGTAAGCATTCTCAGGGCCAGTTAAATTTTGCCCCGAGGAAAGCTGGACAGTAACGAGAGCAGTTCGATAAAATCAACGCGTATGAGGAATCAGGAGAAACATGGGGGTACAGCACCTTATATCTAGGCTAGTGGCAAACGACCTTGGAGAAACGGAAGCCGCCGATTCGGTGAAAAGGCGGAACAGATTGTATGGTTAATAGAACACAGACGTTCCCAGTACATAGACTAGTACCGAAAGCAGCCAAGGACGATCTTTTCGAGTAGTTCACGTAAAACATACACCCAGAAGGGCAAAGCAACCAAGGAAATTTAGAAGAAATCAGTAAATTCATTATTGCCAATTATGACGCCTTTGTGAAGTTTGGTGATATGAATAAACATAAGGTACCAGGGAAACTGGATGAGAAGCTCGAGAATCTTGAATTCAAGGAAATAGTTTGATATAACGTGAGGCTGACTGTTGCTGAGAGACTCCAGGTAGATCGTTTACAGAAGTCTGTCAAGCAATATGACCTACTCGCAGATCACGCATTAAGACCAGGGAAGCAATTGACAGCCTATCACACTTTATTACTATTGGCGAGTTTAACTCCATAGTTATCGACCGGCAGACACAATCAATAACAGCCAACAAACAGTTAGCTTTCACGAATATTTTCAGTGTTTTACTATCAAGTCCATTACTTCAGCAAGTATGTGCCAGAACACACATTTAAAAAAAGAAACATCCTCAAAACCATTAATCTTCTCTTCACCAAAGAGGAAGGACGGTGAAGGACACAATGTCACCTGACCGCTAGGCAATGACCACGTGTCAATAGCCTTCAATAGTATTGATCAAAGAGGCAAGCAGGACAGAAACAAATAGATCCGGGTGCTACAAAGGAGGCTATGAAATGGAATTAAACGATATATATCAACTAATGGGACAGTTTGAGACAGATACTAAAAGTTTATTGAAGTACGTCAAACTCAACAACGAAGACACAGTCAGGAATTGGTAAGTTAGACAACAACCAAAAATGGGGATCAGCGACAGAGAGGAAGCTAATATGTTCAGCAAGTATAAGATATTTACAAGAGAAAACATGGATGATTTGCTGATCCAGGTGGGAATGAACGAAGAAAGTAAAAAGTGGCGATCAGCAAGGCGAAATGTCAAACAAATTCGCAAAGCTATACTGTTTTAAAGTTAAATAAGAGACTAGGAAAGTAATTTGAAGACAGCTGAAATTACATACGAAAAGATTCTGGAGAAAAACAAAATGACCAAGTCACCCGAAAGAAGCTGGGAACATGCTTATTTTCAAAATGGGAATTAGGAAGACGGCTATCAACTACAGACGAATTAATATTACACTTTTTGTGTGTAAACTACTGAAGTAAGTTATCAGAGATCACATCACGAAACATCTGAAGTTTAACAAACTGCTAAGAGGTGGACAGACATGTTACTGACGCACTCTACTTGCATTTCAAGAAGGCGACAGACACCCCAGCCACGCAACGAGAGGGAAAATGTAGAAGGCATTCGGAGAACGGAAAAGGATGATATTTGAATTGACCAAAATAAGCAGTGATGTCCCAAAGAGGAATATACATGAGCCATTTCTCTTTTCTTTTCTCTCTAGAGCCATGATCTAACAAGGAAAAACAATCCGTCGCCAAGTTTTCTGCAGAAGACACAAAACTGTATTGACCCAGACACAAAGACAGAGATACAGATTTCTCTCACCCTTCACATGTGTGTCTCCATTTTAAGCCGGGAAAGATAAGCTTTTCTCCTACCCTTCATAGGTATGTTTCCCGTTTTAGCCGGGAAGCCGGGAAAGATCAGATTGTCACCCCCTAGGGGGGATAGCCTCGTGCCGATTAGCACGTGTTCAATTGTGACGTCATTAAAATGCGTCATCGGTAATTGGTACGTCATCAAGAGTGAATGACGATATGCATACCCCACATGTGTTTTTGTTTACAAATATGGCAGACTACTGTCGGTGAAGCTGTGACTGAAATAATAAGATGGCAGAGCCTCGGGTTAGACAACCAAAGCACATCACCCCTCGGGTTGGAGATTTCTCTGTCACACCCTCAAGGTAGGGGAAGATTCTATTAATCTTAGATTCAGTTGCGGACATCTTTAGTTAATTGCTAGGCAACTGAAAGATGAAGTTTCATTCGCGGAGCGTTAGTCTGTCAACTTGGGATATGTAAATGAGAGACACAGCTACGTACTCTAAAGGCAACGTGGACATCCAGCCATGTGCTATCCAGAAAGACTTTGGTGTGACGTTCGACACTAGTCAAAAACTCAGCACCAGGGTGTCAGACTGTGAATGCAAGCGGACTTACAGAGATGTTGAAGAGACTTTTTGTACATGGACAATGTTATAATTATCATGCCCCCTTAAAGATATTGTCTAAGTAATATATATTGCAGGGTACACAACATTTCTAATAATCCTTTTTGGCCACACGCTAGTAGACTTTCAGAGGTATCTGAAAGGTGCAACAGTGAATATGGTTCCCACTTGGTAAGTGTGGGGTGAAGGACTACCACATGCACCGATAAGAAGTAAGTCCCCGCCACGGATTCTGCTGAAAGGGACGCCCATGATCATTCCATAAATAGGACGAACATAATTGATGAAAGACCTTCACCACGGTCCTCCAGGATTGTCCGAATGAAACAGCAGGCCAGTATAGCTATGTCCGGTGGCCATAGTATTATATCTGATAATCATCTAAATCTCTTAACAAATACACATGAAACAATTTCGACATTTTCAAAGAAAAAAGTTAAGATGAAAACATTAGAGCAATTTAAGTTAATGTCTCTTTTGACCGTCTCGCAAACTAATTGTCTAACAACGAATCAACAACGAATCGACAACACCAGCTAATCATTTTGAATGTAACCTTGCAAACTCTGATTGGCCGATAACTTTGCTCGGCACAGTGGTTAGTTGAAGAAACTAAAGATACCCATGATGTGTGAGAGATGGATGTAAGGCACATGTTTCAAAAAATAGTTTTAAAATGTAAATACAAGTATTGAACTGCTTTCATAGTGTGTTCTGTAATGTGCATATTGTCTATTATAAGTCAATCAGGATTGTCTAGGAACGCAGATGAATGTTATTTGCATCATTAATATACGTTAAACGTCAATACGAGCACATCCATGGTCCCACTGTATAGATTGTTTAGCGCCTGTTAGATGTAAATTCAATAAACTAGACAAATGTACCCCGAGAACTCGGAGATCAATACCACAGGTATAGACATATACCGGGTGTGATATCATTAGCCTCGTTAACACTGATAGTCAACATCCTACTCGACAACAGG